CTACACACGGGCATTATATCAAACCTGAAATGTTCTCAGGGGTTCCATAACAAAGGGTCTAGCCATAGTCAAATTATTATCAACCAATGTTGTTTCTCGTGTCAGTCCACTACCATGCCGACTTCCCACGTTACTCGACGGGTCCTCCGGTGACCACGCATGCGTCAAATCGAACTGTCCCCAGTCCCCGTGTCGTCTTTTGACTTTAATCAAATGTAGTGACTTTTGCTTGATATCTTTTGATAGTGAGTGAGCTGCTACCACGCCATAAATGGAAGGACTTGAGGTTTCATTTTCTTCCTCGATAGGCTTACTTTCACTTTGGACTTTGTGTCGTTTTGTCTCTTCCTGAGAATTCGTAGTCATGATTTTTTGACTGGGAACTGACATGACAAGATCATTTCAATTTATTTATACAGCACTGAAAAGAAACACACATCAAAAAAGAACCAAGGAAGTGAACGAAAAGAAAAAAAAAGAGGGAGTGTTCACAGTCTTCACAGTATACCGATTTACCCGAGATTTTGCGATGTAAATAAGAGTGGACTGTGAGCTGACACAGGTCTTAACAAAAGTACTACTACACCCACGGCTCCTCCCTCTAGAGCAAACATTGCTTTTATGTCGTTGTTTTGATTTGGGAAGTTTATTCATTTCATGACCTTGTTTAGAAAAATTTTCCTATTTTCTTAATTTCGATATAGTTGGGATTATTTTAGAGGAGAATTAAAAATCTCAGCGTTGAATCCTTCACTGAGTCCGAGCTGATCGTTCATATTTCCTATTTAAATGTAATCGTGTTTTATCAGAAGCGGATTCCTGGCGATCAAATCAGCTTTTCCACTCGCCATGAGAAGAAGCCAAAAAGGACAATTAAACTGTTCCTGTAGACGCAAGAATAAAAAAGCAACGGACTTCTTCATGTTGCCTTGGTGGAAAAGAAGGGCCTGTCAAACTCCGTTGTGACAGGTTCCGGCTCCAACGCATTATAAAGAGAAAGTCATTTTTCTTCCGCTCGGGACACATTTATAATCGAAAAACGAATTTCCAAGTCAGGACTCACACCTAGAATCTCCCCTTTGTGAACTTAGATTGATCTCTACAAGCTGTATCACATTTAATCGTTGATTGATGATTCTATCTACTTCAGATAGCGCTTTCAGTTTGACTTTACGATAAAAAAGAGCCAAGTTTTTAAGCTTCATTTCTTCAATTCAGTTCGTAGCAACTCCGGTATGAATACAAAAGCTATTGACACTTCAGCTTATCTAAGATTTCACTTAAACTAAACTAAAAAACATTGACGGGACGGTAATTTAGTGATAGACGGGTATAAGTTGTTCGCGAGCTTTAAAGCATGCATGATAGAACATATCGTTTTCATTCTCTGAGCTGACATGACCACATGAACGCCAAAGAAATGTACGAATACTGTGGTGAATTTTATATTGAGTTAAATTCCTTTGTCGTTACCCCGTAGAGAAGAACAAAGTAACTTACCTTCAAAATAAAGAGCCAAAGTTTTTTTCCAACGAAAGCGGTAGAGAGAAACCTAACAGTTCAAGTTCTTGTTTGTCACTGAACGACGGAAAATGTTGCGGCCGAATGAGCGAAAACCAACGTCTTCCAAGCGGAAAATAAACACTGCTTCTTGTTTGACAGGACAAGAATTAATCTGCTCCTATTTGGAGGTGTGTCAATTGCTTATTGTTCTATAATCAAACAAAACTTGTTAATGATTAAATTCTTTTCAAGTCTCAAATGCACCGACGGTTCCGTTAATTGATTCGAACATGCCTCCACAATGCTGGTGCACGCTAATCGGCATTAATTCACTTAGAATGAATATTGCTTCTAAGATTAGTCTTGTCATTATCGAGAGCGATCATAGAAGTATATATATATACACAAAAAAGAATACGACTTTAAATAAATATAGGACCAACTTCTTGGTACTGAAATTATAAGAAATAGGGGGTGGACGGTGCAAAGGATTGACAATTGGATGCACGTAACGAGGAAGGTGTTCATCAGAAATCGCGGCCAGTTGGTTGCATTGTAACGCGCAGCGAAAGAGTTCTCTGGGTGTACTGGAAGATCAAATCCAGAGGAGCCCGGCTTTCTCCGTCGAAGTATCGATACTAATTTGTGTCATGTAACAACAGGACGAGTCATTATTTATCACCCAGTGGGGAGGGTGGAGGATTCTTTTTTGAGAGGGGGGCAGAGGGGGATCAGTCGTCACCAACTTTGACTGCCAATAAAAGGAGAGAGGGAGAGTGGGGTTCATGAGTGCATCACAGAGCCTAATGAAGGATCAGCCACATTTTATCGTGACACAAACAAAATCCTCCATCCCCCTCCCCCCTCCGGCGATAAATAATAATCTGTCCCTAAAGTAGTCGCAAATTATGTCACGTACGTTTTATATTTTCCTTCGGGCATTTTAATCATTGCGGACCTATACTTGAGTCATCTAAGCTGAGGGTTACTTTTCCTAAAAGGGCCTAACCCTGGGTCTTTTCCCATGGCACGAAATTCGGACAATTTATGGGATTACTTCAAAATCCTTCATCATGAAATTTCGAGGAAATGTCATTTTGCACAATGATTAGTAATCAGAAATATCGACATTTCTCGCTACAAGCCGATGTTTCTTCCAGTCGCTATAGGAACAAGATGGCCGTAGGTTGAATACCTTTACAGATGGCCGGGTTAACTTTTAGCTTTATGTTTTATTACAACTTCAAGCCGAAATAGCCACCTTCTCGAAGAAATTAAGAAAATAGTTTGGAAAAGCTTAAGTACAAAAAAATATCTCCTATATTGCTCTTATTGGACTCCTAAAAAAGGAAAACATGTCTGCATGAACATCTGACTGGAATTTGCATTCGTAACTATTTAACATCAGCTGATGCCACAGTCATCTCACAACTTTTGGCCAAATAAACCTCTCAAAAAAACATCACAATATCCCAAATCAGGTTTGGCAACAATTTCATTTAAAAAACTTTCGTGAACAAAATAACTGATGACTACCGGTAATTATTATAACCATCTCCGAGTGATTTCAACCTGAATCAAATCAATGCCTGTGGTGAAATGTCTTTAACGCTCTAATGAACCTCCCCACGGGTGGGGAAGGGGGGGGTGGGGAAGGGAAGGGAAGGGAGAAGAAAGAAAAAACTTTCAGTTCACCCCTGTGATGAGTAAACAGTGCAATCGCACGACTTTGAGGAATCAGAGGTCACTGAGAAATTTTTCCCTCTACACTGGGAAACGAAGCACGTTGTAATCCTCTTGAAAGAATTCAAGATCAGCGTTTAACAAAACTTTCGTTGGATCTCCGACCTAGGCCTTGCCGTATATTTTGATCCCAATCCAAGAACTTAGACTGGGCCCTTATCTCTCGTTTGACTAGTACTTGACTCCTTACGGTACTAAATGAAAACCTCGGTACTACCACCATCAACAGTTAAGAGTTGAAACGAATCCGGTTCCTCTTCATCCTCGCTCTGTTGCTTAGTCTCTTGTGATATTTTTTGTGGACTGTTTACTTTGAATCTTGACGGAGGAGGGGAGGAGTCCGTCAACCCGTAATTTGGGATATTCGACGACACAAGGGGTTTGTCTTCCCTCTCAGAATCAATAACACTGTTTGATCGTTTTGCAACATTGAACTGCAAAGGAAAAGAATTTTATCAGTGGCATAGTTTCTGGATAATGTTTAATCCATTATCCCACTTCCTAATCCTAGAGGGATATGTAAAAATCATACCTGAAACAGGTAACACCTCGACCCTTGGAGTAGCAACCATAAGCTGACTAGCATCTAATTTCTCCTTAAAATATCAGCCCTGAATCACACATTAAGGTCATGAGAATAAAGGAAATGATCTCAAATTAAAGAAGCTCTTGATTCTTAAACAAATTCTCCTTTAATTAGGAAATGTATAGAGTACAGTATGGAGAATTTGCATACTGCATACAGTTCAATACTAGAAAGAACCACATTTCTAATGACGACGGACAAGAGCAAACCGTTTCACTCCCAGGAGAGCGAGTAATGAGAATTGAGAAAATTACCATCTGGGCGACATTATATTGATATAACGCCAGATTCTCCTGAGTATACAATAAAGAATTGTATAACCATCACTTAGGAGAATAAACTTCCTGATCATAGAAATGAAAGATTGACGTGAGTCTACATTTTGAGGAAGTTTTTCAGTTCCCAAGTGCGCCTCACTGAAATTAAGATTCGAAAGTCCCCCTTACCAATATTTCTGACGATAGTTTCTGTACTTTTGGGAATTCTAGGCCATCAGGAGACCTCATTTAAAATAAACTAAGACGTACAGAAGGTGACCAAAATTTATTAGGGAATAGTCAATACTTATCCCTGAAAGGGAGGAGGGGAGTGAGGGGAGTGAGGGAACGGAGTATTTTTAGGGGGGGGGATGGCATTGTTTTCAGGAGGAACGGAGGGAGAGTACCAAGGGGTGACTGTAGAAAATCGACTGTCAGTAACCACCAATGAGTGAGGATTATAGGAGTACTGCAGAGCCTTATGGGGGAGTCAGGTAAATTTTGTCATGATACAACCAACATTTCCCAATCCCTCAGGCGATAACTGATGAACGGTCCCAAATTACGAGTTCCTTCGAGTTTGCGGGAGAATGAGCACCAATGTTCGGCACGACAACCGACCGCTGAAGCGGTCGATGCGTCATTTTAAGGCAGACTGAAAAACACTCACCCTCGATATCGGCGTATTTACAGGTTTAGAAGGTGCCGGGGTTTCTATTGAAAAATTTTCATCTGCCAAAGGAGCCTGAGCAACTTGCGCTGAATTGTTTACCGCAGGGGCCTGCGGATCAGGGCTAACCAACAGTCTTGAACTTCCGGATGACGATTTTCTTCTGGAAGGTGACAACAATGACTCCGCTTCTTGCACCGTAGGAGTCCGTGATGTGGTATCAACCGCAAATCTGGAATTTCCAGATGGTGAATCGCCGGAATTTTTTGAGAGCGGAATATTTGCTGATGTTTTCCGCTGGCGAGTTCTTGGTTTTGAAGAAAGCACGGCTGCATTTTCATGTGAAGGGGTCACTGGATCGGAAATTTGTCGGAAGGAGTTCCGTCTTTCTTGTTCTGGTGAACATGGAGCCGAGCAGCTGACCCGAGGTGCAGGAAAAGAACGAGAACTAGATGAACTCTCTTCACGTGCCAAGGGAGACATCGGAAGAGCGAACGGACGTGGTCTTTCAGAGGAAAATGACTTGCTACCAGAGGGGGGTTTCTCTAGCTTCTGATTTTGGGGTGAACCAAATAAGTTTTGTAAGGATGAAGGCATTGATATTGGTTGGCTTGGCTTAGGAGGAACTGGTCCGTCAGCACAATCAGCTGACTCAACCGAATTTACCGAAAACAAATTCGCTAGAGGTGGATTGCTATGTTTTTTAACCTTACGAGCATCGACTAAGCTTGTACCAGGAGACTTATTAAGTCCTTCGTAGAAATCTAAACCAAGGTTCTTTCTCTCCCTATCAGGTGTGTTAAGAGCACTAGTTCCCATGTCGGAAGAACCAGACCTACTGTCCAGCAAGATCAACGGTTCGCTCTCATCTGACCTCCAAGTTGGTCGCGAATATTTTGGCGGATCAGAGAGACTCCTGGTGGAAACGAAAACGCTGTTACCATGTTCAGATTCATCGTCGCCATCATACAAATCCCGACTTTCAGTCAAGAACGTCACCCTCTTTGAATCCCGTCCACTTCCGTCTGCTTCTTGAGCTCTACGAAACTCCTGGTCAAGCGACGCGCTCGAGGCGTTCGCCATTAAGGTATCGCTGTTAGATCTCTTTAACTTCATCCCCGGAAGAATCGTGGTGCTTCCGGTGAGCCCACGACGGGTCAGATCCTCTATGCGAGAAGCGGCTGCCGGATAGAGGGGAGCTGTTCGATGGGCCTGAGCAAAGTTTTCACAGTGCTCCTCTTTACGAAAGCTCGGTTTTCTCAGGATAGACTTTCGTTTATGTGGCACCTTGACGGGATGAGAGGGCATGGGACTTCGTCCCTCGTCCTCATCAATATCACTAAGCTCCATTTTCCTGCCCTCCTGTCCTTTTGTTGTCACTGTAAAGCGGCCGACTGTAATTGTTCTATCTGTGAGGAGCGATTGACACGTCCAGTCTTCCAGCTAATCGAAAAGGAGAAAGATTAGAATATTAAGGGCGAACGAAACGCAAGCTATATAAAATCTTAACGGTGGCCAATTTACATCATCAACTCCATTTGATAAAACCAAATTATTCTATAATAATACCCGTTTAACCTCTATATCCCTTGAATAAAAAGACAAACAAATTAAAAACAAATAAAACACAAAACAAAGCAGGAGATTTGTATTCTTTGGCTCAACCCTTAATTCCTAATTGTGAGACAAACCCAAGATCTCTGAAGGATAGCACGATTTCTAGCGTTCTCACGAACATGTAATACCAAAACCGAAGTAATCCCAAAAGCCAATCGGAAAAAAGGAAAAGATCACATGAAAAAAACCATGAGAACTCGAACTAAAATAAGTAAACTAAGTGAAACACGACTGACGATTATGTTACGTAATTGGTTTTGCGTCTGATTGGTTGAGAGGGTGGTTGAAGTTTTTTAAACCAATCATGGAGTAAAGTAAAGGCAAAACAACGCAAAACTTTATTTATTTCGACAATCACATAAGAATTGCTCTATGAATACCTCAGACAGCGGGGAATGCCCCCCTAAAAAAACCTGAACTGACTTTCTTACCGGTCCAAGGTTAATATCATCCTCACTAATGCCGTCAAATGGATCATCTAAGACATCTTGAACTCCTTGTAATGTTCCAAATATGAACGATGTCAGCACAGCAATGTAATACGGGCTCCATGTGTTACCCGACTTGATACCCATATGAACATAGTACGGAGAGAGAACGATGGGCATAAGGAAGATAAACACTTTGGTGAAGGAGCGGATGGTCCGTGGCGATCGGTATTCCCTGATTACGCGCAGTCTTTCAAATGCGTGACACATGAGGCTTAGGATCGTAAGTTGAAAGTGTACCACAAGTGAGAAAATTCATTATGCATTAAATAGTAAAGCTGGAATTAATATGTAAGAAGAGGCCTCATTTAGTCCAACCTGTAAGAAATTTCTAGAACGTGATGGACATCTGTAATCTAATTTGAGACCTGATTGGACACTGTGGATTGTAAGTGATAAAGGTAATTGGACTGCATGGAATGGAACTTTAACTGTAATTATATGAGAGATTTCGAAATTGAACAGCTGCGTAGTGAGAGTCTGATCGGTTAAAGTCCTGTTACTTAATCAAAATGAAACCAATGAACAAACTTCCCCACAAAGCTCTGTGATTCTCTTAAACTTATTAAAATACTATCAATGATGTTGAATTTGTAAGTTGTCAATACTTCTATCGAGAAACAGTGTTACTATTTATTTTTCAAAGACTTACTTGTGATAGTGAATTAGTCTGGTTATTAAAGGTTCATTGTGTGGCAAACTTGAGACTCTCATCTTGTCATTCAGCTGGCTTATGTCACTTAAATCCTCATAAATAACCTGAAATTTACACATTTCAAAAAGCTCTCGTTCAATATAGCCGACAAATGCATCATTTAACCTTATTATGTCAGCTTGAAATGTCATGCTTTGTTTCACTGTCTCCTTGATATGTTCATTAGCCACCAACACTTGCATCAGCACTCGTGACAGAAGAAAAAGATGACACAAGCACATGCAAGCCTAATGGAAGTGCCCCAGGGAAATAAGGGAAAATAGTTATGAGCAATCACTGCCCATGAAATCCCCCGAACGTTTAGCGACAAGAAAAAATGAGAGAAAGGAATGGATCTCTAGAACTTTGGGAACTTTGAAATCTGTGAGACACAATTCTTCCCTATTTCCTGCTGAAATCAAATTGGTTTGAATTGATGCAGCTTGTAAAAAATTTTGTCCCAAGGACAAAGATTTTCAGAATACAATTGAAGCATTGCAGGGAAAAGCCACTAAGAGACTTCTGATGGACTGCTTACTTCCCCTTCCAAGTTTTCTTACATTTCCTTGTTAACTAGAAGGAGAAAGAGATTTTCCATTGAAAGTCACTTAGGGATTTATACCACACACTCCTTTCATAATTTATGCCATACAAAACAAACTGTCAGATTGACCACCAAGACCTGTAGCTTGATGCCGTGCAAGGTCAGACATAAGATCAACCAAAAGGGAATCAAACTCTTTAACAAAGAGTCCATAATCACCAAACCTGAGCTCACTTTGAGATACTGTACAAAGCTACATTTTTTTTTCAAAATGTTAGACATTTTGACCAAATTGACTATTATTCAACATAAACCCAAGGACAAGAATGAATGAAAATAGCTAAACACTGCCAAAAATGTCCTTTTTAGAGCTCTGAAAAATGTCTTAATCTTGGTGTTACGGAAAATTGTCTAAGTAAAGTCCCAGAACATTCTAATAGAACATTCTAGAACCCGAAGTCATCTAGATGTGACCTTCTGGTAAAAAGAACATTCTGGAACGATCTATTTCTTACGTAATTATTCAAATTTAGAAACCCTGTTAATCTACTAAATTTAGTTCTTTAGAGAAGTTTCTAGATCCTTATACTTTATGTATATAAGAGTGACAGTTCCATTGAACAGAGAGAGAGATTTGCGAAGAAGCTTAGTGCTATAAAAACAAGAAGTCAACTATGCGGAAATAAAACAGTTTGTTGTTGTTACGGCGACGATCCTGAGTATTGTCTAGGAACAACCCTGCTCTACATCGACACTCGTAACACTTGGTGGCATAAGACATAGACAATGAATTACCACCAATTAAAGAATAATTCACACTTTCTAAAGTTAAAAGTAATAGACAAACATAACTTACTGAGAGAATAAAGTTCCTCCTGATATGTTTTTCCGTTAACAAAAATTCTTTGATATTCAATACCAGACCTTTCAACTTGTTATTTACAGTTTTTAAAAACTCTTTGGGTAAACCTGAAATTACAGTTAATGAATGTAAACAATTAAAAGACCATCACTAAAAGCTAACACACCAATGGCATTTTAAAATACTGTTGGTCTTAAAAATTATGACTCTCTTAAAATCATTTTTACAGCCTGTTACACCTCCACACAATTGAAAAGGATGCTTTTTTTAATAAAATATAATCATGCTAATTCTTAGAGCTTAAATTTACTAGGATTTAATTATCATCTAAAATAGTTTTAGCAAGTGGATCCACTTTCATACATAACTATCTTCAATTGGCAACTACATTGCAGAACTTGAGAATGTGAGAAACCAAGTGAGAGAGAACTAAAATTTTGACCGTTTGTTAGAGCAGCACATTGTTGATAAGAGCACTAAACCTCTCTCTGAGTGTTTTATTAAACTTTCTCCATTTTCGAAGTAACCAACTAACTACTCTAGGGATACAATGATTACAGTGAATCATTCCTCTACTATCAATGACAGATATGAAAAATAGCTGTAATTTTAGCTAACCACTGATTAAATTGTTACTTAGATAAATTTTACCAGTATTAAAAGTGTCCATCATACTGATCCTTTCTAAAAAAAACAACACTTGCTTAGAGCACTAAGAAATATTACCTGCTGAATGAAGCCAATCCCTATGGCAAAAAAATAATATCAACAGAGCACCTTTAAACTGTGCTAGATCTTCAAGTACTCTCTCACGCCGCTGGAAATCAGCTAACAGAAATGAAAGGAAGCGTAGAGGAAAGAAGTCAAAAATACATCTCAATGGTGCAAACAAAGAAAAAATTCTGAGTCCCTACTCAGATTTGAATCTCAGACCTTCTGATTTAAGTGTTAACTGCGTTACTGATTATTAGTATACCATTGTAAACTTGTAACTGAATAGCTAGACAATAAATACATAGATGCTTAACCCTTTACACCAAAGCACGAGTATGTATATTCTCCTAATGTTCTCTGTACACTTCCAGAGGTGGCAAGGAGAATTTGTTAAACAACCAAGAGCTTCTTTAATTGGTAATTATTATATTCTTAGATTCTCATAACCTGTATGTGTGATTCAGGGGCATAATGTAAGGAGAAATTAGATGCTAGTCACTCTTAGGGGTCAGAGGGACTTAAACCATAATGTGATTTATTTTGATTCTCGTTTTAATCTATGCTGGTAC